AGTGACTCGGTAGGAATTGGGGCAGGACTGAAAATCCAGGGCCAGGACCCCGGGGAATGTGAGAGTTGAGATCCTTGAATATTTCATCAGCACTTCAGCTCCAGTTGAAGCAGCAGCCAACTTACAGCTCATGGATAATTTATGATCCCAACAGAGAACCTGGAAGTAGCGAGGGGGAGGGGCACTGAGGGGGAGGCAGGACCAGGCTGTGGACAAGAGTGATGGAGAGACGCCACGGGATGGGAGTGTGTATGAGAGATCAGGGGGCAGGGGCTCCCAGCACCAGAGACTTTCCCAAGTTTGAGGATACCCATATATTAAAAATAAAGAAACAACTCCGAGATGCTGGAAATAACTGCTGAAGGTTAGAGTCACAGGACAAGCATTTTCTGACTCCCAGGCCTGACCCTGCGTCTGTGACGGAGTGTATAATCTCATCCTGAGATAACGAAAAAATGTAATGGTTCTGTGTGACTGTGAGGCCCTCAAATAACCGAGTCCACACTTGGGCAGGCCAGGGAGAAAAACTAGACTTCCCACTTGGACTGGCTGAGCCATCCCTTGTCAGCCTCCTCCTCCAGGAGGACCCTAAAAATTTAGCCAAGTAGTTAAGGGCAAAGGAGGGAATCAGGTATGGCCACCTCTGACTTCATCCAAGGAACATGACATTACACCCTCTTCCTCCTTTTTTTCCCCCGGATAGAGTTTCACAAAACCTAGGCTGGCCTTAGAGCTACTATGATCTTTAACTTTTTTCTTTTTGTTTTTTGTTTTGTTTTCTTGTTTTTTGTTTTTTGTTTTTGTTTTTTGAGACAGGGTTTCTCTGTGTAGTTTTGCGCCTTTCCTGGATCTCAATCTGTAGACCAGGCTGGCCTGGAACTCACAGAGATCTGCCTGGCTCTGTCTCCCAAGTGCTGGGATTAAAGGTGTGTGCCACCACTGCCCAGCGATCTTGAACTTTTAATCCCCCTACCTCCATCCCCGGAGTGCCAGGATTATAGTTCTGTACCATCCTACCTGGTTTACGTAATACCGAAAATGGAACCCAAGAGCTCCATGCGCGCTAGGCAAACTCTCTGAGCTACACCCCCAGCCTCACAAATTTCTTTATTTTTAAAGGAAAGCAGGAGAAGGTGACTCCCAATGGAAAATGGCAAGTTCTCTTGGCCTCCGCTTTCCTCATGACCTTAGAGAATTCTTCCAGGTCATGTAGAGGTCAAGCATATGTATGTGAGGAGAGGGCAAACAAGCACATCCTCCCCCTGCCTCAGTTTCCCCACTTGAGTCATGGGCAGAAAAGGTGCTCCTATACCAAGGGCTGTTTCAGGGGACAAAAGAGATGCTATCCAGGAGCCTTGGCGCCAGCTGAGACCCAGGGAGGTAGTGATTATGAGGTGATGGGCCCACAGGCTGGGCCTGGGATTTCAGTTTCTGCTAGGGCTGTTTGCTGGGCTCCCAGCAAACTCCCATCCAATCCCTTCATCTTGGAACTTGATAGTAAAAGGAGCCAACCAGAGCTGTGTGTTAGCCCAGATCAGAGTTGGCCCCAGCCCTAGAGTCTGACCCAGACTCTTGGGGGGCTCAGTTTCCCCATCCATGAAATCAGGGCCATCTTCCAGGGCTGACCTTGGAGAGATACTGTAAAAGAGGGCCTGGAGGAAGGCCAGAGTGGGGAGACAAGGATGATGGCCCCCGGGGCCCTGTGGGCTTTGTTAGTCTGGTAAAGTTATTAGCTCTGGAGCCAGCTTGACATGGAGAAGGGCCCCTTCTTTGTCCCCAGAAGGGACTCTATTCTCAGACACAGGCAACATTCGATAAGAATTCTTCCTTTTCTTAATTTTTAGCTTTAAAAATTGTATGATGGGCTGGAGAGATGGCTCAGGGGTTAAGAGCACTAGCTGCTCTTCCAGAGGTCCTGAGTTCAATTCCCAGCAACCACATGGTGGCTCACAACCATCTATAATGGGGTCTGGTGACCTCTTTTAGCATGCAGACAGAACACTGAATACATAATAAATAAATAAAATTTTTTTTAAAAAATAAATAAAAATTGTGTTATATGTATGGGTGTTTTGTCTGCAAGTATGACTGTGCACCACACATGTGCAGTGCCCACAAAGGACAGAAGGGGGCAGCAGATCCCCTGGAACTGGAGTTACAGGCAGTTGTACAGAGTTGCCATGTGGGTGCTGGGAATCAAGCCCAGGTCCTCTGGAAGACCAGCCAGTGCTCTTAACTGTTGAACCATCTCTTGAGCCTCTCTAAGTATTCTTTTCAAGGCTGATCCCATCATAGTAGGTTGTCAGTACTGACATTAACGCCGTCGAAGTTGTAAGCAGCACCCACTGCTAAATTTGACTGGCTAAAAAAAAATATATTTTCAGGCTAAGAAGGGAACTTATTCCTTTGGAATTTACTGGAATTTGGGGGGGGGGGCTAATGGAACTCTCTTTCTTCCACTGATCATAACTCTCAGGATTCAGGAAGCTACTATCCTAAGTGTCCCCAGGAAGCTACTATCCTAAGTGTCCCCAGCAACCCTGTCCCAGGCCACCCAACCTAAGACCTAAATCCCATGGGGCTGACGTCAGGACTCTATTCCTCCCTCCTTCATTTTATCTTCCCACCTTCTTTTCTTCCCCTCTTCTCTTCCCCACTCTCCCTTTGCAATTCCTTATAGGCTAAACATAGTAGGAGCTCTATAGCCCACCATTCTCCCTGGCCCCAGCCGACAGCCCAAAGCCCAGGGCCTCTCCCTTCCTTCAGACCTTCCTTCAGACCACAGCACTTCACTTCCCCTTCTCCGAGCATCACGTGGACTAGAGGGGGCAGTTTTGAGGGTGGTAACAGTTATCAAGTACCTGGTACTTGGGAGGCACTTCGCATTACAGAGTTCTGCTTTCATATGGATGGACCCAGAACATTTCTGCAGCATCTCTTGAGTTTGTTCTGATTGTGTGAGGTCACATCCTGGTGTTTTCTGCCCATCCCACACCTCCACCCACCATACTGTTGAGAAGGGCAGAGCTGGTGGGGTGTTGTAGGAAGGGTGAGGAGAGGTGAGAACATCTGGACTGGGTGGGGCTGGGAGAGTGGGCTGGAGGGCCCACGCGGAGACTGGCTGGGACTCTGTCTCACCGGTTTGGGGAGCCAGCTGGCTGGGCAATGGGAGAGGCTCACATTAAGGAGAGATGGGAGGGGCTGGCAGATCCCTGAGAAAGGGGAGCTGAGTGAGGCATGCTGGACTGGCTGAGCACCTGGATGGGATTCCTAAGGGTAGCTGGCTAATATGCATGCACACACACACACACACACACACACACACACACACACACACACCACAAATACATTCAGATGCATACTCAAACACAGTCATACATGTAAACTGAAACCCTTCAACATTCTGGGTCCCTCTTACCTGGCTCTATTTTCCTATCTTATATATCTAGCATAACTCAATTTTTGTTTTTAGATAGGGTCTTCCTGTGTAGCTCTGGCTGGTCTGGAACTTCTGCCTCCTGAGTCCTGGAATACAATTTATATAAGGTCTATTGGTTACCACCTGCCTCCCGTGGAACAGCAGCTCCAAGAGGGCAAGGTGATTGGCCTGTTTTGCTCATGATCATGTGCCTAGCACTTGCAGCATGCCAGGTACATAAAAGGCACTCAGTGTGTGGATGAATGAAGCCTTTCCAAAACACACGTAGGCACACACACATATATGGACAGGTACATACACACTGAAAGACATCTGGGTGCCACAGGCTCACAGCTGCCACAGATAACCTCAGACCTCTGCATGCAAGTGCACACACACACACACACACACCCCTCTCTTTGCACTCTGACCCACAAGCACTTTCCATACCCACACCCAGCAGTCCAGATTCCAGAGCTGGTGCTCACAGCAGCACACATCTGTGCAGACATGCTCAAGCTCATCTTGCTCCCTGCACCAGACCTGGAGGGCAGCCCCTCCCTGGAGCAGGGGGTGGGCCATCAGATGCTGACGGCGGCGTAACAGCCTGGGAGGGTGAGGATGGACAGAGCCATCCTGGTACCTGGGAGCTGTCAGGAAACCACTCTCCTATGACAGAGATGGAGGTTGGAGAGAGGCTACCAGTTCCCTATCCTGAACCCAGTTCTACCTCTAAAGGCCAACAGACTTGGACCAGAGCCTAGGGGAGAGGTAGATGGGATATCAGTCCTCTAGGCAACAGAGGGGTGTGGGTCTCAGGACAGGTCATCTGGCACCTGGGAGCAGGGGTGTGGCAGTGAGAACTGTATGCCCTTCCCTGGGTCAACTCCACCCTCCATTTTAGAGGCCTCTGCCCCCTGGGAGTTTGGCGAGATGTAGAGTAAGACAGAACTGTCACCTTCTTGACCTTGACGCTGTGCTCCTCTTGAAAGCGCCCCCCTTTGCAAACCCTAACTCCCGGCAGTAGGAGTGGTGGTTATAGGACATCTTTGCCCCTGCTCCTCCAGACTCCTGTCCTCCAGAGCCAATGCAAGGTTGGACAAGTGAACTCTGATGGTCCCATTGCATTTCAAGAAGTCCAAAGTCTTCAAACCATTTCCCTAGGGTTCCTCTGGCTACTGAGCTGGGGTTCCAGCAACGGCCAGACTGGGCATGCTCTAATTCTAGGGAAATTCCAGGAAAAAAAATGTAGTAAATGTCTTTAGATCCCCTCTTCATATCGCTATAAGCCCCTGGAACTAGAAAAATACAGACATCCCTGGTTAGAAATCTGAAACCACTGTCTTCCCAAGGCTGCAGGGAATACTGTGTCTTCACGCCCCCTGGTGGCAGGTCTGAGGTTGCACACAGCTAAGAGGGATCCCCTGCTCTCAATCAGATGTCAGGGTTGTCGAGGGTGCCAAGGCTACAGGGTACATGGGCTGGCATTAGACAGATAAGGGATGATGGGCGGAGGGAGGGAGTGAGGCAAGGACCTATACCCACACAGCTCAACCTTAGAGACTGGCCTCAGGTGCAGTGATTCATTCAACAATAAACGTTTATTGAGCACCAGAACTCCAAGCCCCGTGTTCTTCACAAACCCCTCTGCAGCTCAGACAGAACTGTCACCTGGCTGGCCTTGGTCCTGTGAGACGCAAGCCAGAAGCTGACAACTTCCTCAGGAGGATGTCCACCTTAGGGGAGCCGAAAGGGGGAGGAGGGACCCCCAACAGCTCACCTGCCAACCAGCCACAGGGTCACCCTTCTGCGGTTCAAGGACACAGAGAGGCAGGGTGGAGTCTGGGCCAACTGTGTCCCTTTTAACGTTTTTCTTCTTGTTTCATTTTGAGACAGGTTCTCACTATGTAGCTTCGACTGGCCCCTGGAACTCACTATGTGGGCCAGGCTGGCCTCGAACTCAGAGATCTGCCCGCCTCTGCATCTCAAGTGCTGGGATTAAAGGCCTGCGCCACCACACTCAGCTGTGTTTGTTTTGAAACACGATCTCACTAGGTAGCCTCAGCTGGCCTGGATTCGTAGGCCAGGCTGGCCCGGAACTGAGATCTGACTGCTTCTGCCTCCCCTGGGTGCTGGTGTCAATGGCGTGCACCGCCATACCCCGCCATTTTAAGTTTTAATAAATAGTTCTTGCTCCTGGCCCAGTATCCTGAGTTTGAGGGGTGCACTAGGGTTACCCCTCTCTTTTTTTTTTCTTTTTGGTTTTTCGAGACAGGATCTCTCTGTATAACAGTCCTGGCTGTCCTGGAACTCACTCTGTAGACCAGGCTGGCCTCAAATTCAGAGATCCACCTGCCTCTGCCTCCCGAGTGCTGGGACTAAAGGCGTGTGTCACCACTTTTATGCCAGTTCAGGCTCTGGTTCTGAAAAGGAAGGAGAAAGCAATGGGTTAGTCCTGCCCACTCCAACAAGTGTCTTTTTTTTTTTGTTTTGGGTTTTTTGTTTGTTTGTTTGTTTGTTTTTGTTTGATTTTTCGAGACAGGGTTTCTCTGTGTAGCTTTGGAGCCTTTCCTGGAACTCACTCTGTAGCCCAGGCTAGCCTCGAACTCACAGAGATCCACCTGCCTCTGCCTCCCGAGTGCTGGGATTAAAGGCGTGCGCCGCCGCCACCACCCGGCACCAACAAGTGTCTTGAGTACTGACCTAGCAGGAAGGTAGATCACCAACAGGCTGCAACACCCTAGAGCAGGGTGGCAGCACCCACCCACACTCCAGATTGGCACCCTAGCCCAGGGAGAACTCCGTCCCTAGCCCTTCATCACAGTCCATTACTAACCAGCCTCAGCCTCATCGCCCTTGGCATCTGGTTCCTGCCACCAGTCGGCATAGAGACCCTCTTCATAGTCTCCCTCCCCTTCAAACTCAGCATCGGACGGGGGTTCTTCTGCCTCCCCTGGTTCATCTGGGGGCGATTCTGTCTCTTCCAGCTCCATCTAGAGCAGCCCAGGGTTGTGGGGGGAGAAACTGAGTCACAGCAGGCCCACATCCATATATAGGCTCCCCTTCAGATCAGAACACTCCCCCCACCCCATCTTTCAGTCCCCACCCACTTCAGCAGGTTTCCTGGTGTCGTCCTGGCAGGAGGTGAGCGGGCAGGCCCGAAACCCCCTCCCCAGTGCCAGCATCTAACATGAGGGCAATGTCAGGGTTTGTCCTGTTGGGTCCCATTCTGAAACTGCTTCCCTGAGTGACAGCGGGGGGGGGGGGGGGGGGGGGGAGGCGGGGTGCTAGTGTCAGCATGGCTGGCTTGCACCACAGCCCCACCTCTGGCTCCACACCCGGTGAGAACACTGCTAGTCTGTGCATTTTGTCTTCTGGCGCTGCGGCCCTGCCAGGAATACCTTTGCAACCCTGACCTGGATGGGCCTTTGGATTCCTCCAAAGCCACATGTCCACTCCATGCTGAGGCCTTCAAGCCTCACCCTGGCCAGTACCCACACTGGCCTCTGAAGCTGCATGGTCTACGTCTCCCTCATGAGAACCGCTGGGAGACAGACTGTTCCTCTCAGCCACTTCCTGCCACCCAAGCCTGACGTGTGGCAAACAGCAGACCAAAAGTGGCAGTCATCGAAACTGCTGCACATCCCAAGCATCTACCGAGTGCCAGTTGCATGCCTGGTGCTTTAAATGATCTCATTTAATTGGCACCACAATGAAAGTCAAAGGGCATGCTCCTCATCTCATGGATGAAGGTGTAGGAGTTTGCTACGTGACTTCCAGACCGATGCTAAGGCCACCCGGCTGGTAAAGAACAGAGCAGGGATGAACAGCACCTAAGCCAGCCACATGTCACAATGCAGATCCTGTTCCTGATTTCACTGAAGGTGGGGTACAGTGAATGTACTGAGGGGTGAATAAACAAGCTGCACAGCAATCCCCCAAGAAACCCAGGCTGCCAAACCCCTCACATGAACTGGTGCATGCTATGGCTCTTCCCAGCATCATTCACTCATTCATTCGGCCATTTATCCACAGGCTCAAACTCCTATGAATGAGCATAATGCCAGGTGCAGTAGCAGAGCTGGGGATGATTTAGTCTCCTGTCCTGGGATGCAGTTGTCTAGGAAGCCATCTGGCCGTGGTGAGATGGATGAGGACTATGAGGTTACTCCAGGTCCCAGGCCAGGTGGCCAGGCAGGTGGGGAGGCCAGTGTCAGCCCAGAAGAAAGCCAGGACATCCAGCAAGGGCTCCCTAGAGGAGCTGCCATTTGAGCTGGGCCCAGGAGGCATAGGCCTGGGACAGGTAGAGAAAGCGCTGTGGGATCACTAAGGTGGCGGGAAAAGAGAGGTACAGACGGGGGACAGGAAACTCCTGCTTCACAACAGCTGGTGGTCATACACAGTGACCTCAGGAAAGAGCCTGGGACCGGTCCCCATCATGGTCCAGCCTCTCATGGGGGGCCACTCACCTCATCATCTGACTGAAGGTACATGTGTGTGAAGTCCAGCAACTCCCGAAGCTCAGAGGTCTGGTTGTGGTAGAGCATGGCCTCCTAGGAGGAGGAAGGGAAGGGCAGAGTGAGGTGGACCCTGCTGCCAGATGGCAGAAAGACAGGGCTCAGGGATGGGGGAAACAGATCAGCTCATAGAATAATCCTAGTTACTTGGAACACTGGATTAAGAAGGATTCTGAGGATTCCAGGAGGAAGAGTGCTTCAATCCATTAGTAATGTCTGCCCAGGCATGGAAAGTGGGGATGGCACCATGGGGCTCATAGTTGCCAGCCTTGCCCTAAACTCCCAAGGGGTTTTCTCATTGGTTCAGTCTTAACAGGCCCCTGGGGGGGAAAAGCTCAAAAGACAGCAGTGAGGTGAAAGCAGGCATGTGTGGGCACCTATTTGCATTCCTCCCACATCCCAGAGACTATGCTGAAGCCTAGACTCTAACCACAGCCCATATTCATCTTTTCCCCTTCCTCTCCAGACTTCCAAGGAAACCAAGAGGTTTTTTTGGTTTTATTTTCTAAACCAAGCCACAAAACTGCCCGTTAGGCCAGTGCCTCACTAGAGGCAGTTCCCACCTCCCGGGGCTGGAAATCCTCTTCTTCAAGCCCCCAGCGAGCCCGATGGAAGCGGTAATACACCAGGTTCTGCTGCATGACACCGTCCTTGGGGTCAAAGAGCATGTAGCTAGCAGCGCTGCGGGCAGCCTGGCGCACGTCGTTCACTGCGGGCAGGATAGAGTAAGGGGGTAACCCTCATGTTTTCCTTTAAAAGCAATCCACTCATCCCATCTCACACCCACCTTCCAACCTAGCCTGCTGCCTCTACCCCCAGACGCCTCCTGCTGGCTCCTCACCCCGCCCAAAAGAACACAACCCAACAGGCCTTGGGTGTTGCCCTCTCACCAGGCAGTGTGAGTCACTCCCTGACACCTCAATCATTGTCACTGCGTTTTATAGACAAAGGATGGGAGGCACAGGGAGACTAGATAAACTGCTTGTACTGATACTGCTGAAGATTGACAGCAACTGGGGGGGATTAGAGATCCTCGGGGCTCTCTGCCACAGCCCTCAGGAGGTCTCCTGGCCCCTGACCTCAGCCCCTCCACTCACAGCTCCAGCCCCTGAAGCGGGCATCCCTGAGTTGTAGGAACCCTGGACTGTCCCACTCCAGCCCCAGCTGATGGCACAACCTCTCTGTGACTCCCTAGTCATGGGGCTAATGGTCTCTTGCCCTTTAGAAACCTCAGTTTAATCTGGAGACTGGGTCCAGGGATGCCAGTGGCATGGTGTTGGTGAGAGGAGAGAGATGGGGGGTACAGAAACTCTTCAGTGCTGAGCAGTGTCGCTGACCACCCCCGAGAGGGCCTCCCACCTTCCCCACATCCCCTGCCTGGGTTCCTGCCCAGGTCTCCACCCCTCCCAGCCTTTCATCCCCTTCTCCAGAGTCCTCAGTCTGAGAGACACCTTCCCACATTTCTGGGAGACCCCATGTATTGCCCTTTCCCATGCCCCTTACCCCACTTTCCCCCAGCCCGTCCAGGGAGCTCACATTTGTAGTAGGCAAACTGCAGGTAGTGATACATGGTGGCCACAAACTTCTCCACGAAGTAGCCACCAACGTTGGGGGTGAGGTTGGTTTCGCAGTCCACCTTGCACTGGAGGGACTCTGCAAAGAGATCTAGGAAGGATGCAGCCGTTAGGAACCACTGTGTGCTAACCCTGATCCCCCGTAAAGACCAAGATCTGCCTATGGAGCCTGTTCCCCGGCGCAAGAGGTACGCCCTCGTCAGGATTTCATGGATTAGCATGCATGAAATGCTTGGCACATAGTACTTGATGTGGGCTGGGAAGTACTTGCTGCCCGCTACGCCTGTTGCTCAACCCCTATCTGACACCAGAGGGCATTCTGGGAGAAGAGCAGCTGAGAACAGCAGGGTGGGTTTTCGGTGGGACTGAGACCATACAGGACCTAAGATAGCCCTTTCTGCTTCACCTTTACCCTCTTTTTAAAAGTATTATTTTATTACCTTTTAATAATCTATTTTTATTTTGAGTGCATTGGTGTTTTGCCTGCATGTATGTCTGTGTGAGGGTGTCGGATCCTGGAGTTAGACAGTTGAGCTGCCGTGTGGGTGCTGGGAATTGAACCTGGGTCCTCTGGAAGAGCAGTCAGTGCTCTTAACCGCAGAGCCATCTCTGCAGCCCCCACCTTCACCCTCTTTGAGGGGCCTTGTGGTTAGGGATCCAAAGACTAGTTGTGATTTCATTTCGTCCACAACTACTTTCTGGACACACCTGTCTAGTGTCAATTCCAAATCTTTTTGTATTGTGTTGTTTAGTTTGGTTGGTTGTTTTCATTTTGAGACAGGGCCTCCCTATGTAACTCTAACTGTTCTGGAACTCACTATGTAGACCAGTGTTATGGAATATTACTTTAACTTTGTAAAGATGTGGGGTTTTTTTGAGACAGGGTTTCTCCGTGTAGTTTTGGTGCCTGTCCTGGAGCTCGCTCTGTAGACCAGGCTGGCCTCGAACTCACAGAGATCCGCCTGCCTCTGCCTCCCGAGTGCTGGGATTAAAGGCGTGTGCCACCACCGCGCGCCCCCCCCCCCCCCCCCCCCCCCCCTGGGCTGTGTTACATTGTTTCTGCTGTATTTACTTAATTATGTAAAGGTGTGCTACTGTCTCACCTTGCCTGCCTAAGGCACCTGATTGGTCCAATAAGAAGCTGAATGGCCAATAGCTAGGCAGTAGAGGGACAGGTGGCGCTGGTGAGCAGAGAATGAGTAGGAGAAGAAAAGGAGAGAGGAGAGAGAGGGAGACATCTGGGGCCAGTCAGCCACCAGCCAGCCAGACTCGGAGTAGGACAGAATGAAAGAAAGGTTAAAAAGCCCCGAGGCAAAACACAGATGAAAAGAAACAGGTTAATTTAAGCTATAAGAGCTAGTGGGACAAGCATAAGATAAGGCCAAGCATTCATAACTAGTAAGTCTAGTTATAGACTAATGTGTCATGATTTGGGAACAGGCTGGTGGCCCAAAGACCAGGCTGGCCTTGAACTCACAGAGATGCATCTGCCTCTGCCTCCCAAGTGCTGGGATTAAAGTCGTGGAACACCATCCCTCCCCCCCATTTTTGAGACAAGATTTCTCTCTATAGCCCTAACTGTCCCATACTCGGCTATGGACACCAGCATTCCTCTCATTTGACTGGAGACAGAGAAGATACAGCTTCAGAGCACTTTGCTGTGTCTGCTGAATGCTGTTGCAGGTCACAGCCGTGTGTTCAGAGGCCTTAGGAGGCCTGGAAGCAGGGGCTCTATGGGTGAGGGATACGCACGGTGGTCTGAATGGGAGATACCTGCTATGGCTGGGTAGAAGTCCTTGAAGTCTACCTGCTCATGGGCCCCCTCACAGCCAGCTAGACACCGAGCGAAGACCAGCATGTACTCAGCCAGGGCCCGCTCCATGTCTTCTGTGCTGCTGCGGAAGTCCCCGCTGTTGTAGAGTTTCACAGCCCGGAGGAACACAGCCTGGAGAGGAGCACGGCAAGGGGGCGTCAAGGGAACCCCGACGGCTAGTAAAGTGTGCGTGCAGGGTGTGTGTGTGTGTGTGTGTGTAGGAAGGCGCGCCAAGGCCAGTCCACCCTCCCACTCTGCACACCTCATAGGGCTGGGCCTCTAGGTCCGTAAGGGACTCATCTCCGATATCCAGCATCCCCCTGTAGTAGCTGAGATACTTGGCGGTCAGCTCGTGCTTGGGGTTCCTCTGGAGGAAGGTGTAGGCCGCGGCCACCGCCTTCTCCAGTCGGTTCGCCTGGTGGGGGGCGTGGGGAGTGGGTCAGTGGGGCGCCGGACGCGCCGCGGGGGCCTCACGTCCTAGGGACCCTCGACGGCGGTCGGGGCCGCGCCCACCTTGAAGTGCGCGTAGTGCAGGTACTGGTAGGGCAGGCGGCTCTGGAAGTCGCGCAGCAGCTGCCGCGGCGGGTAGGGGACCTGGAAGGCGGGCAGCGTCCGCTTGCAGCGCCGCAGGCAGGCGGCGCGCTCCAGGACGTGGCCGAAGAGCCGCAGCTCGCGCGCCCAGTCCTCGCCGTCGCCGCCGCCGCCGCGATCATCGTCCGGGCCGGGCGCGGGCCGGGGCTGCGAGGTGGCGGCGGCGGCGGGGCCGCTGCAGTTGGCGTGGCAGAAGGCCTCGCTGTCGCGCAGCAGCCGGTGCAGCCGCAGCGCCGCCTCCAGGTAGCGCGCGCTCTCGCGCCAGCTCTCGCCCTCGTACTGCTCCAGAGCGTGGCCGTAGGCCGTGGCCAGGGGCATCAGGTCCTCCGGCGGGAAGCCTCGGAAGCTGTACTTCTCGTACTGCGCGCCGGCGCTGCCCAGCAGCAGCCACAGCAACCCCCACCCCGGGCGAGCCATGCCCACGCCGCGCCCCGAGGCTCCCGGGGCAGCGGGAGGACCGATGGCTCCGGCCCCCCAACCCCCACCCCCCGGAGCTCCTGCTGGGTCTTAGCGCCGGGCCTCGGGCTAGAGCAGGGACGTTGGGACACCCCTCTCTTTCCGAGGGTCAGTTGTAGCTCTAGTCCGCTACGTGGGCTGGACTTTCCACCCTTGCAAGGCTTGCCCCGCCCCGCCCCTCCCCCGGACCCGGGTGGGTGGGGCTATATTTTACGGCCAGAAAGCCCCTCCCCACCGGCAATGTCCCCCCCACCTTAAGTGCCACCTCTCTTGACTTTGCCTACGCTCCGGGTGAAGCCTCAGAATCTGGTCTTTTCTCCAGTGCCCCCTTTGCACCCCCTAGGTGGCCCCGCAAACACCCGCGCCGGCGTCTAGGGGTAACACAACTCGGGTTACCCCGCACACCTGGCCCTGACACCTCCAGCCTCCCGACTGAGCTCCATCCCGGGGTCTGTCTAGCAGCCTGGCTTTTGCAGGACAAAGATGCCTTTCACTGAGACTGCACTCTCCCTACTCCGGCCTCCCCCCTCCACTCTTGGGAAGAGAGTTGGGGCAGAGGAAGGACTGAAATATCCAGATTATGGCCTCACCTGCCACCAGAAGGGGCCTAGACTTGGGGAGCCAGGAAAAGCTAGAGATACCTCCAACCAGCTTTAGGACCCAGAGGCTCAGGGAAAAAAAAACTTTTTCTTTGGAAGTCCATTCTGACTTCTCATCTTTCCCGAACCTCCCTCTGGGCCAGGCCCGAAGTTTGGGGGGAGGGAGACTCAGGGATCTTTGTGGCAAATTCCTGGGACTCCAGAGACTCTCAACCTGGCCCCCTCCTCCTAGTCCACCACAAACATCACCCCACCCGGCCAGCTCAGTCTCCCCAGCCCCCATTCCACGTGGACCCGCCAGGGCGGGGTGGGGAGAGAGGACAGGAAGAGGGGGAGTCAGCTCTGAGGAGGGGGAAGGAGGCTGGCGGCTGGCGTCCGCCCTCATTGCCAGCGTCTTCCATCTGGGCACCATGTTCCTTGCGGGGTCCCCCAGCCACACCCTTCGCCGGCTCCCCATGCTGCAGTTGCTGCTGCTTCTACAGACCTTGGAGAGGGGGCTGGGCCGTGCCAGCCCAGCCGGAGCCCCCTTGGAAGATGTGGTCATCGAGAGGTATCATATCCCCCGGGTCTGTCCCCGAGAAGTGCAGATGGGAGATTTTGTGCGTTACCACTACAATGGCACTTTCGAAGATGGGAAGAAGTTTGACTCCAGGTAAGACGTTGGGCACCCCCAGACTCACCACCACGTTCCCGAGCTTCCAGGGAATGTAGCCCCTTTCAAGCTTTTCATTCCTGTATTCCATCCATAACCCCTAACCCCAAACAGCACCCTGGGAAGGGCTCCTCAAAGAATGTTCCCTATTTTCAATACCAAATCTTCAACTCCTGAAAGACCCACACACACACACACACCCTTCCAATCTTCCAGAATACTTAATGCTCCGGTGGTAAAGTGCCATATTTATTTACCATTTCCTTATTTAAAGACATGAGCAGTCCCCTGGTACACAGTCTTAGGGGGAAAGAGACTCTGCATACTATATGTGAACCCTGGGGTGAGTGGACGGATGGGACCACCTGCCTTCCCACACACCCTGGCTCCCTGTCTACTTCTACCTCCATTTTTCTATGCCTTTATGTTTGGAGACTAGAGAAGCAACATTTTCTTTAGGGTATAGGACCCTAGAGCAGCCAGGGAGGGCCTTCAGCAGAGTGGGTGTTATAATTTTGGGGTAGGCCATAGCTGGTGCTGTGACCAACTGTCCACGTGTCACAAGGTCTGACATGCCACCCTGGGGACCTCCCTGCCACCTTCTCCAAGCCTCTGGGAACTCCGTTCCTCCATCTTCGCTTTAGCAGCCCACACCAGGCTGCGTTGCCAGTCTTGGCTTGATGGACAGGCTTCCATTCTGACCCAAGCCCTTGGTCAGCCAGGCAGATCTCCTTTGGTTGTTGGGGAAGAGCAGGGCTGTGTGGCAACCTCTTTCCAGGCGTTAAGGTAAACTTCAAGTCCTATCACACTTGAAACTCTACACCACAAAGAAGAGTCACTCTTCAGTCTCTTCTCCGAAATATACAACTCAGCCCATAAGCAATTAGTGGTCATGACTCTGGAGGGAGATTGTATATTGGATGAGACTACTATAAGTGTAAGACCCTGGGTTCAAATCCAGGCTGTGACGGAGGAGGAGGAGTTTTGCCTCTTGAATCTTCATTTTCCCTGTCTGAAACATGGGAAGGGACCAGCACCTACTTCCTAAGGGTACAAATGAGGAAGGGGAATGACAGTGGCTTCCACGGTGCCTGCAGACCTCCAGTGGGTTCGGGACTTACTGTCCTGGACTCTGGGGAGAACCCTCATGGTGTTTATTTACATAATTTTTTGGTTTTTTTCTGTTTTGTTTTGTTTTTGTTTTTCAAGACAGGGTTTCTCTGTGTAGCTTTGTGCCTTTCCTGGAACTCACTCTGTAGCCCAGGCTGGCCTCGAACTCACAGAGATCCACCCGCCTCTGCCTCCCGAGTGCTGGGATTAAAGGCGTGCGCCACCACCGCCCATCTTATTTACGTAATTTTTAAAAGGTGTATTTATTATGTGTTCTGCCTGCATGTATGCCGGCATGCCAGAAGAGGGCACCAGCTCTCACTACAGATGGTTGTGAGCCACCAGGTGGTTGCTGGGAGTTGAACTCAGGACCTCTGGAAGAGCCACAAGGTGCCCTTAACCTTTGAGTTCTCTCCAGCCCTGACCAATGGTGTTTAACTCAGACACTTTGTGCATTGCCCTGGCCTTTATACAGCATTGTAAAAGAAATAGAGCAGACAGAAAATCTGCACTGTGGGTAAAGTGAGGAACAGAGCTACAAGCACAGCCTGGTGGCCTTAAAAAAATAAATAAATAAAAAAATTACCATCGCCCAGTGTGGCGCACGCCTTTAATCCCAGTACTCGGGAGGCAGAGGCAGGCAGATCTCTGAATTCGAGGCCAGCCTGGTCTACAGAGTGAGTTCCAGGACAGCCAGGGCTACACAGAGAAACCCTATCTCAGAAACAAAAAAAACAAAACAAAAAATATGTATTTTATGAGTATGAATCTTTTGCCCAAATGTATGTATGTACACTGGGTGCATGCCTGGTGTCAGAGGAAGTCAGAAGAGGGGTGGATGGCTGTGAACCACTGTGTAGGTACTGGGACTTGAACCCATATACTTGGCAAGGGCAACAAGTACTCTAAACCGTGAGACATCCTCCAGACTCTTTTTTGAGACAAAATCTCACAATGTAGCCCTGGCTGGCCTGAGATTACTAAGTGGACCAGGTTGGCCTCAAATTACAGATCTGCATGCTTCTGTCTCCCAAGTATTAGAATTAAAAGTATGCACCACCATGCTCTTCTCTCCGGCAATAGTGATGGGCTGAGGGCTGAGGGTATCTTCCCTGGTGGGGACTGCTTTTTGTTTTGTTTTGTTGAGACAGAGTTTCTCTGTGTAGCCTTGGTTGTCCTAGAACTCGCTCTCTAGACCAGGCTGGCCTCGAACTCACAGAGATCCTCCCACCTCTGCCTCCCAAGTGCTGGGATTAAAGACCCAGCTTAGTGGGGATTGTTTAAAAAAAAAAAAAGAAGATTTATTTATTATGTATACAGTGTTCTACCTGCATGTAATATATCTACATGTCAGAAGAAGGCAACAGATCTTATTACAGATGGTTATGAGCCACTATATGGTTGCTGAGAATTGAACTCAGCACCTCTGGAAGAGCAGCCAGTGCTCTTAACCACTGAGCCATCCCTCTAGCCCATGGTAGGTACTTCTTAAGCCTGTCTTGGGCCCAGTTTTTTTTTTTTTTTGGGGGGGGGTGTTTGTTTGTTTTGTTTTGTTTTGTTGTTTTTGTCTTTCGAGACAGTGTTTCTCTGTGTAGCCCTGGCTGTCCTGGAACTCACTCTGTAGACCAGGCTGGTCTCAAACTCAAGGTATACGCCACCACCTCTTGGCTGGGCCCAGTTTTTTGTTTTTTTGTTTTTTTTCTTTTCTGGAGCTGAGGATCGAACCCAGGGCCTTGTGCTTGCTAGGCAAGCACTCTACCACTGAGCTAAATCCCCAACCCTGGGCCCAGTTTTTAAATGTTGAAATTTGCAAACATTTTTAACCCTTGGCTCCTTTCAACCAAAATAAAATGTCCTGGGGCTGGAGAGATGGCTCAGCAGTTAAGAACACTTGTTCTTGCAGAGGACCCGGGTTTGGTTCCCAGAACTCTCATGGTGGCTCATAACCATCTGTAACTGCGGTGGGATCTCTGACCTCCGTAGACACCAGACATGGCATCCACACGGTGCATAGACACACAGACAAAACACTAAAATTCATAAAATAAATCTAAAAAAAATTAATGTCGGGACCTGGAGAGATGGCTCAGACGTTAAGAGCACTTGCTGTTCTTCCAAAGGTCCTGAGTTCAATTCCCAGCAACCACATGGTGGCTCACAACCATCTATAATGAGGTCTGGTGCCCTCTTCTGGCCTGCAGGCATACATGCAGGCAGAACACTGTGTACATAATAAATAAATAAATAAATAAATAAATAAATAAATAAATAAATAAACAGACCTTTAAAAAAATTAGTAGCTCATTCTTGGGGGCTGGAAGTGTAGTTCACTTATTAGAGTGCTTGCCCAGCATGCATAAAGTCCTGGGTTTGATCTCCAGAACCATATAAACTGGGTATGGTGGCATACACCTGTAATCCCAGCATTCAGGAGGCAAAGGTAGGAAGAACATAAGTTCAATGTCATCCTTGACTACATAGAGAGTTCCAGACCAGCCAGGGCTACAAATGACACCTGTCTCAAAGAGCAGGGGTGACGGGAGAGATGGTTCAATGGTTAAGGGCACTTGCTGTTTAATCACTACAAGGATTAGCATCCATATGAGTAACTGGGCGTCCTGTGCATACCTAGGGTCAGGAAGAGAACCTTAAAAGGCTAGCCATAGAGTGAT